CGGTGAGCCCCAGCCCCCCGCACCTCCGCATACGCCCCCGGGGCACGGTGCGAGGCGCGGAGGCCAGGCTGAGCCTGGACGGGAGGGAGGGACGCTGCAACGGCAGCCTGGAGCTGGGGGGTCCTCAGTTCCTCAGGTATCCCAGGTGGGTTTGCACCTCTCACCTGCCTTGGATCAAGCAAAAGCGGGGTGGCTGAGGGCAGCTGGGGAGCGCACGCCTCCTCCCAGCCTGCCAGCAAGCCCCCAGGGCTCGAAGCAGAGAAGCACCTGGGGCAGAGGCACTAAACTGAACCCGCTCCCTGTCGACTCCCCTTCTGTCACTGGGGAGCCAACGCTGCTTCTTTTCTTCTCAATTTAATTGGCACCCTAATATATACGTGCAGTCAGAGACTCCAGCATGCGTTCGGCTCGCGACGCTCCGAACAAACAGCCGGTTATGACTGCTCCATTTGCCCGACAGCGTCCGAGCGACCGGAGCTCAGCCAGCTGCGTGCCCGGTGCTCGGAGACCTCCTCTGACGCTGAGTGCTTGAAAAGCAGATAACGAGCACTCACGGCACCGCTGGCCGGCCACCATCGGCCCCGAGGCCCCGCAGAGGGGGCTGCTCTCGCAGCACACCGCTGTTGTTCACCCCAACAGCTCGGCCAGGTGCTTCTTGGCACTCTGACAGGAGCACCTGTAATGGCCGCTCCCGGGTACAGGATACAACATCCAAAAGTGCTCAAGTCCTGAGTTTCCACGCTGGAAACACCGGAAGCCATCAGCGCCCACAGCGCAAGCCCACGTCTGCAGCGCGGCTCTGCACGTGATGCTCCCCCCCGCCAGAGCAGAAGGATCATGTCACGCTCCGGGCCAGCTGCCTTTGCAATTTGCTCCCGTAAAACCTATCTGGAGCTACAGAAAACACAAAATCAACTACAAAAAACAGCACGTCTTGTACTGTTCCCAGCAAGAAAACTCTCAGTTCTCCAGCTCCCTCTCCTTCATCAAACACAGGAAGCTCAGCTGAATGGTGCTGCTTGTTCCTCGCTTCAGCCCAGGGCAAACATCACAGGTTACTTTCTGCACAGGCAGCGCCGTCTCTAATCCTCTGCCACACATCTTCTGGGCTCGTTAAAGCACTTGGAAGATCACAGCGCAGCGGCTGCATGATGAGGGTAAGCAACGTGCGGCACTTCTGCGGGGCTCAAGCTCCGTGGACGCGTCCCCCAGCCGTAACGCTGCTCCCCGCCACCCCTCGTCCCTCTCCCGCAGCCGAGGAGATGCTTCAACCAGCTGTGCCACCTGGTGAAGTGCCAGCGTAGCAATGCTCTTTGCAACTTAAACGTACCCAAAAATAGCAGCGAGGTTCTGAAGCACTTGAGGTGACTAATTCCCATTTCCAAGGGCACCTTCCGAGGCGCCGCACGCAGCGTTCCCACAGCCGGCAGACGCTTCCCTTCCCTCGCAGCCCCAAGCACGCACACGGCCCCTCTCAGGGGCTACTCACAAGGTGTCGGATTCCGTTCCAGGTGTGGTAGGAGAGGGGGAAAGCCAGAGCAAACTTAGCAGAGTAGATGAGAGCGGGCCCCAGGCTGAGCGACTTCACCATGGCCAGGTAGTGGGGAAACTGTTCTGGGAGCAGCAGGGCAGCCAGACCGAAGAGGGAGACTCCTGGGAGAGACAAAGCCCACAGGTCAAGCCAGCAGAAGCATTACGAACCCCGCAAAGAGCCCCAGGCCACCTCTGCGACTCTGGTTTGGTCTGCGACACGGCCTGAACCACCATCAGCTCATGGCAGCCTGCGGAGGAAGGAGGAGGGAGAAGGGCCGTGCCCGTCTGGTGGCAGTGCCAGCCGCACTGTGACAGTGTACCCCGGGGTGCTGAGGACTCAAACTGGGACAGCAACGCACCGAATCTGGGTCCTGCACCAGGGGCTGCATTACTCATACAACACCCGGAGACCAAGCTGGCGTGAGCTCATGCAATTGCAGCCAAACCAGCCCAAATTCAAGGTTAAAGGGACAACAAAGTTCAGAAATGTAAGGTGGCAGCTCTTCAACAAAATCCCTAGATCCACATCTCGGGACAACAAACCCCCCCACCGCCAGCCACCGACACAGGCAGCGACGTAGCGAAGCCGCCTCAGCGGGGACCAGCAAAGGAACCGGCAGACAAAAAGACAGCCTGACACGCGTGGCTGCACTAGCTGCAAGCGCCGCAGCAGCTTCTCCTCTTCGTTTCTAGGCCAAGAGGGTTCCTCCAGATGGTGCTGCCAAAAGAACGGGAACGATCGCAGCCAGCAGTCAGCCAATTCGCGATTCGCCCTCCGCTCAATAGCGCCTGATTACACTGCGGCACGCTAGCTTGAGCACCTCGGCTGAGGCCGGCGCTGGCAGCGCAAGTCAGCCAGCTGCTTCCTCGCTCAGCCACTTGTCTCCTCAATGGCCTTTGTGTTTGCCCTGCGAGAAGCGCGGGAAGTCAGAGGCTCCTGTAATTACAGGCCTTGACGGAGAGGAGTTGAACACTTCCCCCTCCTTCTCCTGGCTGCCGAGCTGTGGTTGGCAGAAGCGATGTTCCTTCGTGCTCGATCGGCCCGGGAAGGGGATGATTTCCCCTACGGCAGAGGCTGATGGATCGGAGCAGAAAGGCAACAGCGGACCTGCCAGCTCGGCCCATCTGACAGCAAGCTGGATGGGGACCACAGGGCTCACAGGCACGTCCCGAGCTCCTGGAGATAAGAATCCCTAAGCCAGGTGGGGCCGGCACGGCTGCCGTGCGATGCCCTGGATTCACGCACGGAGCAAGGCAGGCAGCCACCCCGAAGGAGCCAGCTGGGCTCACAGGCTGCACGCCGGCAGTCACCTTGCCCTGCTCGGAGCAGGCAGCACTCAGCTGCTCTCCCGCAGAGGACGCGTGCCGCTCTTTGCGAGGCAGAGCTGGGCACAAGCCGGCTGGCCGGAGAGGAGCGGAGCCTGGGAGCAGAGCCAAGCCCTCACCACGGCTCTGCCATGCGGATACCGGAGCAGGAGGGCATGTGCACGCCCTTTTCTAGGAGCCCAGCTCCCAAGCCCTCACAGAGGCCAGGCTGGGAGGGGCAGGGGGGCGCGCCCGCC